TCCGTCTTGAGTTTGTGCAATAATTTTTTTTTCACCTTTAGCTTGTGAGTGAGTGAGTGAACTCGCTTTGCACGAATTTTTTTCTACTTTTGCTGTGCAGGAATATTTTTTGGGTAATTGCCCAATCCCCCTCCCAAAATAAAATGGTCCATCCCTTATGTAAGCGGTTTGAGCAATTGTACACAATTAATCCCGGGGTATGGGTACTCCTAAGCTCCGTAAGCGGACACCCTCGGGAAGCAGAAAAAGTGTCCGCAACGGCTTAGTTCTAATATAGGGTTTCTGCTTATGGGAGCTTAGAAACAACAGGGCAAATGTTGAGTTTCAATATTGTTTAAAAGAGATTATACAGGAAGTAAAATATAAATTCATTTTGTAATCGACGTTGTCCTTGACGTTGCCGTCGTGGTTGCTACCTGTTGTTTTGCAGAGAACGGCTAAGAAATGTACAAGATGTATAATGCACGTGCAAAACTCATTGCACTGCTCATTAAACCTTTTATTTGTTTACTACGTTCTCGTTGCTGTTGTTGTTTTGTTGAGCCCCTTCCACACGAGCAAGTTTTCCTTGACAAGTTTTTCCTTGCTCGTGTGGATAAACAACAAATTTCATTTGACAAGTTTTTCCTTGACAAATTTTATTTGCTCGTGTGGACGATAAACAATTTTTCTTTGACAATTTTTCTTTGTAACAACAATAATATTGTACAGCGGATTATCGTCTTTAATAGGATACAGGTCGCGAGCAACAAGATAAGACCGCTGGGCACCAGGGATTCCTTGTCAAGTTTTCCTTGTTGCACGTCCACACGAACAAGTTTCGCAACTTGGCAATTTTTCCTTGACAAGTGTCCTTGTTCAAAAACTGGCACGCTTGTTTTTGAACAAGGACACTTGTCAAGGAAAAAATTGTCAAATTTCCCTTTCCACACGAGCAAGGAAAACTTGTTAAGGAAAACTTGTCAAGGAAAACTTGCTCGTGTGGAAGGGGCTTTAGACTCTTTAGGCTTAGTCTACGGAAAATTTCACGGTAAATCCGTACACTTCTGATTGAATCGAAATACACATTAGGACGCGTACATATATCTAAATTTACGCGATGTGACTTTAGTATTGAAATCATGTGACAACACACTGACGTCATAATTTTCCATCAAACTTTGCGAGAGAAAAACAAGACCGAGAGCGCGAAATTTGAAAGCAATTAAGAAAGCAGAAACAAAACGCCCAGTATTCATAGCAGCAGTTAAAGAATTGTCGACTTCAAACCCCTAAACCAGTTTCCACAAACACTATAAACTTATGAGTTGGGATTTTTAGAGTCCCTTTAAATTCTTAACACCACATGTCTAGAGACAAGACAAGAATATTAAAGGTTGTCGTTGGATATACATATTTTTTCTTTCTAATAGCATGTGCCACCGCTGGATCGCACGAACGCTAATTTTTGGGCTGGTAAACCCCTCAGTAGAAAGGTAATGTACTTGTACACTACATAGGTTGCAATAAGAGAGCATAAGCACGGATATGTTTGTGCTACGGAGGGCAACCGGAAGGCGAATGTTATCTTTTTTGCGCGCTTTTAACCCTCGTTTTGGCATTTACAACTTGACGTTACGGACGAGAAGTCGATGATACGCGCCAAAGAAAACAACATTCAATTTCCGGTTGCCGTGAGTGACTCAAAAACGTCTGTGCTTAAGCTCCATAGTAATAAGTACTTTTTTCGAAACGAGAAAGATCCTTGAGCGAATTGTTAGAACTCATTGATCGATTGAAAGCGATAAAATATCTCAAAAATGACTGCGAGTGTTCAGTTGAAGAACAGCTGAAAAGCTAGAAGATATATCACACACTAAAGACAGTGTTTCATCCAATTTCCACCTCGAATTTCGTCAAAGATACTTCTCTACGCGTCGTAGTTTCAACTCTCTTCTCGATGTTTTGAAATAGGATGAAACACTAACTGTCTCAAGTGTTTCAATAGCAGTTATTACATATGTCAGCGGTTTGACATGCAAACGAGGCGAAAGGGTCAATCTGGTATTGTTTGCCGTTTGACATGCAAACGAGACGAAAGGGTCAATCTGGCATTGTATTGTCCTATTAGCCTCATTTGTAGGCTCGATTACCAGCCGCTGTTCGGGAAAATGAGCCAAAACGAAGACCGGACTCGAGAGAGCGGCGGAAATCGAGCCTAACTCGTTTGCATACTTTTTAAAAACAAAAGACTATTTGACTGCGGGCTCAACTGTAATAACAGCTATTAAATATTACTTCTCATTATGAAAAACGTACACCGTTTGTTGTATTTATCATTATTTAGATAACTTCACAAAATCCTTACGCCGAGGTATTTGTTGGAAAACCCTTCGTTCAGACAGTTGACATAAATAACTTAACCGAGGTGGAAGAAGCTCTTCAGGAAATTATCAACACCAAGGTAGGTAATGCTCTTATTAACCAACAGTGACGTCTGTATGGAATCATCTTGACCAATACCGATGCCTGTATGTTTTAACCAATCAAATTGATTCGGTAGCGCCCAGACCTCAAGATGCTACGTTGTGTATTTTAAGTAAGCCTGTAAGTAGCATGAAGCGACCAGGAGTACCGCTACTCCCCCGGATGGGATGCTAGTCCATTCCAGATCCGGCGCAAACCATTATGACATCGATTATCCCACATTGATTGGCTGTGAAGTCAAAATCGGCTGCTCATATTTGTTACATCACGATGGGAAATAAGAACAGAACTAAGGCATTGCAAAGTCAAAGCAAAAATACATTACTTAAAATAAACGAGGAGACTCGTGGAGCTTAAGCCATATAACTATTCAAAGCTCCCTAAGCTCCCACGAGTCTCCTGTAATTCAGTGGTAGAACGTCCGACCGGTGTGCGGAATGTCATAGCTCAGTACAATTTTGGACAACACTGTTGAGAAACCGAACTTAATTAGAGTCAATATTTGCTTGTACGCTTGTTTTGTGGTCACTTTATCTTCCCCTCCCCTCTAATCAATGTTGTTTGGTCTGAAAGTGAATGCTACAACATTTTAAGCCCTTTAAATCAAATAAAAACTACCTAAAACTAACACGGCCTAATTAATGGAAACGGATAAAAACGCGAATTGAACAAAGGTCAATTAGAACTATAAAATTTGATAAAGCGTATAAAAAAGGCAAGTAAAACTAAGATCTATTTAACTATAGAATGTTACAAGCGTTCTTAAATAGATGTCTTTAATCGTTTTTTAAAAATTAAAATTTTAAAATATAATAATAGTCTCCGTTGTGTTTCTACCAACCTTAAACATTTACGGTCATTTCTTTCCAAAATAATATTAGTTACGTTTTTCTTACTCTTATCCCAGGAGGAGCCTCATCTACCGTATGAGTTTACTCATGTTGGAATGCTTGAACGAGTCAATGCATATGTCGAAAATCAGGTAAGACGTTTGCCTGCTTATTCCGGCATTTGTATGTTTCTAATTTGATCTGCAACTTCCAGGCGTACAGTGGAACCCCACCATACGACCACCCCGTTATTACGACCACTTTTTTGTGGCCCGAACAAAATTAAGCCCACTCATTTTCTTATCTGAAAACCCCGTTATTACGACCGACGACTACCTTTTGGAGTCCCCAGTCGTTATTTTCTTTATAAATTACCCCGTTAATACGACTAGACAAAATGCCTGGTGAGACTGCTGAATGAAAACAGACACAATCTGACAAACAATAACGCATTTTAGTGAGTGCTGTCCGGCAAAGTTGTTAGTGATTAGCGTGTTCAATTTATAGCGGAATTAAAGGTATATTTGTCATGGCATTATTTAGAAGTATGTAGCACCATAAGTTGACCCTACCCCGTTAATACGACCAGCCCGTTAATACGACCAAATGTTCATGGCCCGACGGTGGTCGTATTAACGGGGTTCCATGAATCTGTAATACAGTGAAACCTCCATTAAGGGGACACCCTCGGGACAAGTAGAAGTGTCGTCCCGGCGTATTTGCTCAAAACTGTTATAAATGCACAAAATGGTCCCTAAATCTATCAAATAAGAACTTAGTAAACTCTAACTAAATGATAAAAAGCAATTTTGTCAAGAAATTCCATACTGCAACAAAATGTTTGCAAAATTTCAAAGATTTCCGAGCCAAATTTGAAACTTTGAAAAACTGACATCCTGACGTTTTTTCAAAAATCCATATTGCAATCCATTTCCATCCTCGCTGTCTTTTGTCATCCTCACTTCCTAATGGGTTCCTGTCATTTGTCGAGTGCTATTCTACAGAATCAAACCATTATTGTTCAACTTCCTATGATCTAGATATGTTTCTGAGCTTCCCGAAATCATGCTAAAATCAGGACAGTGTCCCTTTAATGGAGGTTGTACTGTACAAAGATTATATGACCGTTAATTTTGCCCGGACAAAAGTTTGTGTTCCCTTAATTATAATGGAGGTGTGTAACTTGTTTTCTTGAAGCGATAGTTTTAAAACTATATATAGTGTAAGCATAATTATATACTATATAGTGTAACCCTGACCCACAAAAGAAAGCTAACAATTCTCAAGCTAACCGGGGTGCTATAGCAGGCTAACCGAAGTGCAATATGTTTTTATTGTATATATACATCACAAAGTGTCCCAGCTTATTTTGGTGTATCCATTGAAGTCATAACCGTAATTTATTTTACACAGAACTTTTGTAAGCCAACAAAACTGGCCGCCTTTGAGTGAATTGAAGATGATTCTGGGAGGGGAGGGTGAGGCTTGTGTAGAGGCCTGCCTCAAGAAACAGCTGACATGCGAGCCGACGTTCTTCACATCTTTAAATACAAAAGAAACTCTTGAAAGGTAAATTCAACGTACAGCGCACAAAGTAAGATATAAATTGCAATTATGATATTGTTATCAGGGGTTATGTGAAGAAATGATCCTCACGGTTGTGTTTGCAATTTAAGCAATCGTAAAGAAGCCTGAAAAAATTCAGGGCTTCGACGGGATTTGAACCCATGACCTCCGCGTTCCCGGTGCGATGTTGTCGTAACTGAACTATGAAGCCACACATTTCTCACTACCATTAAAAGTATATATGAAGATGAATTACTGACCGTAGTTTGAAGTTCCAAAGACCCTCATAACCTCGCGAAATTTGCCTTCAAAGTATCGAAAAATTCGACTTGACCGCCGCCATTTTGAAGACTACTCAGCAACCTGGCCGCATAAAGTCCAACCTGAATTGGCGGGAAGCGCTGTGTGATTTAAACACAGTTTTGGTGTGCCTTCGTTCGATGTTTCGAGTCCACAATGCGGCCTCTTGTGCAGCTCCAAACTGTTGTGACAGGTCGCACAAGGACAGAAAGAAGAGGAATTATATTTCATCGTTTGATCTTGCCAAGAAATGGCTAGTTAAACTCGGCCGCGATAAGTCCAATTTCTAACATTCTTATCTCTATCCGCAGTCCATACTATATGATTCAATCATATACTTCACTTGACAGATATTAACTTGTTAGAAAGACCCAAATATCTCCCTTACACCTTATTAACCGCTTGCAACTGCAAAAGGTTTAGTTCTTCCCCGAGATGAGGAGGAGAGAGGGGGTGGAGCGTGCGCCGGCTAATTTTACTGAACAGCGGCTGGTTAATCAAGCCTAGCTAATACTGGACTAGTAGTAAAACAATCTGATTGGTTGATTTTAGTTGTTGACTCTCTCAGCTGTCTTTGTAACAAATATATTTATCACCCTTAGGGTTAATTTTTCAGTGTAAATCCACTGTGTTCCATGAGAGCATCCTGGCGCCTTCAATGCGCACAGCAGACAACACGTGTCTACTACAGAGTCAGCCACTGTTGTTCAGTTGCCTAGCAGCCAAGCCTGGTGTAGTCCGCGTCTGTCCTTGTCGCTCGTACCGCAAAGAACAAGTGGCTTTGTGTGAATCATGCCGCTGACCAAACAAATGATTCCTGCTTTTCACTTGTGCTCTCAGAATTGTCGTAGATAAGTAGGGTTTTTTTTTTTCAAAAAATTTATAAAAATTAAAAATAAATAAAAAAATAAAAAAATAGGTTTTTTTAACTGTGTAATGACGAACATTACGTCACCAGCAAAGTTGGAATCAAATGGGTATGTTTTTGAATGAAAGAGCTAAGAAACCTGGAAACAAGGGTAACATTATAAGAAATAATAAAACACTACGATATTTTTCATCAAATTAAAGCGGCTCTGAACCACTTTTAGGGAATATTTTAACAATTTTTAAAAGATGTCTGTTTTATGAATAAGACAAAAAATATACCAAATCCTACTTTCACGGAGTAGTTTTAAAGTTAGTAAAAAGGTTATTAGCTTCAAAAGGCCACTAACAGTGGTTCGTACTGTTTAGACACAGTTTTTCCACTTAGGTAAAAAGTAAAGTTGATAACATTTTTTTATATATATAAAATACAATACATTACTGCAAAAATAGTAAATATTCATTCTGATATACTTACAAAATCTACTTAGAAAATAAAATATGTGAGATAAAATAAAGTCTTGCATTTCCGGGATGTCGTGTGATTGAAACTTACTCTATAATGTAGTAACGAAGAAGCTTTGCCTTCAATTCATTGATTGTTTCTGCTAGCCTCATATCCGTGGAAGCCACTGCAAGCTATCGAAACTTTTCTTTTAATAATATGTGCGGGATTGTGGGTTTCATCGCGATATAAACTTAGATGTTAAAGTACTTACAAAAGGAAAATAAATAAAACCCTTTCTCAAACTTATTTATAATTTATTAACTTATAACAAGGAGTCATAACCGTGTCGGAGGTTTGGATACCTGGCCTTAATTACTATATATTTTTACCATTTTATGTCTCCGTTTACTCCTTAGTTTTTTGTTTGATTGAGAAGATATATCAAACACTCGAGACAGTGTTTCGTCCGATTTCCAAACACCTCGAATTTCGTCAAAAATATTCCGCTTGAGTCGTATTTTCAACTCTAGCCTCTTCTCGATGATTACCGGGAAATCGGATGAAATACTGTCTCTCGTAAATGTAAAGATGGTTAATGTTAAGCTCATTTTCATATATTACTTCAAAATGAGGAAAGTTTTGTTTGTGTAATAACTTGTCTTCTTTTCGTATTTTGCAAATTATGCAAATTATGGCGTCATAACAGGAAAACAGCATGGAGACAAATCGCAAATGGAGAATATCTCTGGAAATAATGGATTAAGAAATATGTAACCTTGCACAAATCTTTTACTTAAAGAAAGAAACGCAATGATAAACACCATGATGTTGCCATGGTGATAATCTTTTTCCAAACCACTTTCATTCAAGGAAAAAATGTTTTTGTTTTTTTTCTTTACCGAACAATGATCCACTCCCTGGGTGGGATCAGGAGACCTAGAACAGCACAGCATAAGCATTGTGTGTTAGTTGCAAAAGATAATTATTTTGCATAATGTCACATATCCACAAGGAGGTCCTTTGTTTCAGATTAGACAAAACTGAATGTTCGTTTGTATTATAAATAGCAGTCACGTGTCTGTCCGCGATTTCGTATCCGCTACGTCTCCAGATTCTTATTCCGAATTACCGTTTCTTATTCTTGCAATTCCTGCTAAACGAATATGCCAGTTTGCGAGTTTGCGTGTTGCGAATTTACAACGTTTCAGCCTCTCGTACTGTTCTCGTTTAAAGGCTTACAAAACTGATTGGATGAAATAAATTATTTACGATTATGTGCCTGGAGTATATACGAGCCCAGGAGCCCATCAATGGGCTCCTGACGAGCCACTAACATATGAATGCAGTCCATTCGTTATAATTTAATAACATCACATTAAATTATTCAGTTCCGTTTTACAAAAATGACTCCGAAATATCACAAACAATAGACTCACTGAGGGAAACTCAAAATTACTAGAAATTTAGTGGATTCAAAATAAACTATTGGTGGTAATATTTTTGATAAAAGTACTGTTAAAGCAGTGTTAATTCGCTTTGTCACTGTTAACCGCAGCCTTGACATGTTTAGTTTTGACTTGAAAATATATTTCGCAGTATGTCCATGATAGCGTGTCGAATGTGCCTCATCTTCCAGCAATAAATGACAGGATTTAAAGATGAATTAAGAAACACCAGGGTCCACGTGTAACGAAACAAACCATTTAAAGCCATGCTTGATCCAGAGATTTTAAAGGCAACAAAAGTGCAATAATATGGCAAATAACAAACCAAAAATACGAGATATACGTAGAATGTACTGACGGCAGATTTTCTCAGCCTTGCAGCATTTGCCATTTCGCCATTCTGCTCTGCTCCTTGTTGTACTTGCAGGGCTTGAATTTGGTTTGTATGGCGTCGTACAGTTAAATAAATCTTGAAATAAAAAATTGTTGTAGAAATTAAACAAAGGCCTGAACTGATAACAGAAACCGCGTAATTAATATCGTTTGGGAACCACCACCAAATTAAAGAAAGAAATGCACTGAACAGCCATATTGATATGACCACAGCGACAACACGCTTGTGAGTCACAAGCTCCTGATATCTGAGATGAAGATGGATAGCCATGAACCTGTCTAAACTCAAGGCCATAACACCAAAGAACGAAGCGTAAGAAAATATCCCTCTGATGATCAGAAACGCAGAAGAATAAGATGGATTGTGTTCAGTGTTTTGCTGTAACAGCTTGACCAGCCTTGCGATGTACAAAGGTTGAACCAGTAAGCCAACACAAAGATCAGAAACAGCAAGACTCACGAGCAAGGTTTTTAATGTTTTTGGCAACGAAGACGTTTTTCTCATCGCGTGGATTGTTAAAATGTTCAACATGATGGCGGTGTAGGATGAGAAGACGTTGAACACACAATTAGCGATGTAGGATGAATATAGAGGATTTCCCCCTTCTTTCATTATGTAAGAGCATATTTTGGGTTAATATTATGTTTAGTAGTTTTAGGTATTTAAGATAAGAAATAAATCTTACATTTCAGGTGATGGGTTTAAAATAATATAAAACGTCGAACTTTATAGTTCTTTTGAATCAAAATATCAAATTGTAATTTCATAGCTATCGTTTCTTAATTACAGAGTGAGTTTCAGCTGTCGAAGTTTTCTAAACAAGTGATTTCTTTTATTAAGCAATTTGCGTAAGATGGCAAGCTTTCTAAATAAGCAATTTCCTTTTCAATAAAAGTATAACGAACTATTTATTTTAGACTGTGAAATACTCGCACATCTTGAGGAAAGCTCGCATACTAATATACTTTATGTATGTTATTAAAACCTAGCTTCCCTCCATGTTTTCAACACCTTCTAAGTTCTTTGTTCTCGATTCGTGAACTTAAGGCCTAAAATCAATGCCTTCCTCAAATTAGAACTTAACTTTCTTTCGATGGCAACTTAGGAAAAGTTGACATCGTATTATAGGTCTGTTTACTTTACTCTTTAAGAATTCCTTATTCGAGTTATTTCTTGGAATACAGAATTTTGCACAAGTAAACATAACTAGCCTCATTTAAGATTCTTTTCTTTCTGAGACCACTAGCAGCTGAAACTACCTCATAAGTCCTAAACGAAGTTGTTTATCTTTAGTGTTAACAGTAGTTATTTGGGAATATGTAATTTAGGCATAAATAGAAGCACTTGTTAACAGCAAGTCAGTTAAATTGAGTTGAGTTGAGTTGAATTGAGCTGAATTGAGTTGAACTTAGTTGAGAACGGAGCTCGATGTGTATAGAGCCAAGCTCAATGATGTAAGAACTGTACACCAACACTTGAGAATTGTACTCGTTGAGTTCACATTAAAGCAAGTTCAAACGCATTTTTGGAATCATCTTTCCTCCGTCACGCTGTTCAAGAACATCTTAAATCTGTTCGGTAACAATTATGTAGCCGGGACTTTATAAATGAGCGCCAAGTTTTGTTATAGTGAACTTGTATCGTAGGTTAACTTCTGTCTCCGTACGAGGTAGCTGGATATTTGAAAATGAAAGCTGGTTTAAATGCCTACTCCTGATATCTTAACAAAATTCTTGAAAGCGATTGGTTCTTAACAA